GTTTTAGAGCATATTTTTCGATACTTTCGAGGTCTGCGCTTTTGTAGAACAGCATGTATAGCACGTCGTGCGGAAGGAACAGATAACCCATAATTGATTTTCTTTCTGTTTTTGCGTTGTTTTCCATTTTGTTTCCATTTGTCTTTGTGGTTTGCGTTTGTTTGTCTTGAATATTGCCTTGTATCACCCCTCGATGAGGGACAAAATTTGAGTCAGATATCTGAGCGATCTGAATTATCCGGATAATTCAAATGCGGATAAACGGATGCGGATTTATCCGGATTGGAACGATAAATATATATTTATTATAACGAAATTATTTAATTCTGATAATTTTAGCCTGATCCAGACAATTTATTTAATATAAACAGTAAAGAACGACTTAAAATAGATTATACAGTAGATATATAATTCTGCCAAATTAATTAAAATTTTTCTAAACCGACTAACCACTAAAATTTTGTTGGCTTGGGCCAGTAGAAAAATTTCGATCAGCCAGAATCACTTCTATTTGTATAGTTTTAATTTTAGATCCTCTAAATGACTGAGAACACGGGACTAACACTTTTTTGTGACGCAACTAACCTTCATATGCAAATCCGTGCCACATAGTAGAGATGAAAAAGTTTATCCGTAATGGTAATCAAAATTCAAAGCAATCCCTGTAGAATATTTTCCGGTTTATATATGAAATTCCGATGCTGTATTTATATTTTCTCGCGTTAATTTTAGTACAGCTAGAGGTGCGATCCGTAAACTATTAGTTAAATAAATAAACTGTAGTTTATTGTAAAACTGTAGTTTTAAAATAAACTACAGGTTATTTCTATGTACTGTAATTCACAGTTCACATCTCTAGGTACAGCTATTATCATAAATCCTGGGACATCAGAAACAGTAAATCAATGATCGACTGTATGTACATAAGCCGGAAAATATTATACAAGGATGCATTAACGTTAAGGTAATATAATTAACCGATACGTTATTGATTGGTATTAATGATACTTCTATATAGTACGTACGTACGTCATCTACAGGCTGTGAATACTTGAAAAAGCAACGGAGAACGGATATTTTATATTTCCTATGCCGTTAGCAAAAATTATAAATTATCATGCTCCACGAATGTAAGGACAAACAAGAAATAACATCAAGACAAATTTTATAAACAAACCTTCTATAAAATTTATTCTGTTATCGAAGCAAACAAATGTCTCACAAACACCAAAGTTTATTAAAAGTTTTTCAATATCTTGTGTCAACTAGACCAGAAGAAAAAGCTATTTTGGTTCCCAATGGTGTAGAATATGAAGAAATTAATTTTCAAGATTTGGATCTTATTATCAATAAATATGTTAATTATTGGAATAAACAATTAGAGAACGAAACCTTGGAGAAAGATAGTGTGATTGGTTATTTATCATAAAGTGGTCCTGAATATTTGTATAACATCATGGCCTTATGGAAATTGGGTTTTACAATCTTATTCCTTAGTCCTCTAAATTCCGAATCTGCATTGATTCATTTACTTCAAGAAGCTAAATCACGTATTCTTATCTACGATCCTAAACTTTTAAAAACTTCCAAAAATGTTCAGAATGAAATAAATTCTCAATATACGCAAACGCTTAATATCTTTCAACAACCTAATAGTTTAAAGAATGAACAAATTGTTCATTTCGCCCCTGTTTTAAAATTAAATGATGATCCTGAAAAAACCATCGCCATTTTTCATAGTTCCGGTTCAACCTCATTTCCTAAATTAGTTCCTATCTCCAGTCGTTTTATTTTTAATGTGGATGCATTTGAAAAAGCTGATGATATTATTGTATCAACCGCTCCATTATTTCACATTTATGGGACAACTGTTTTAATAAGAGCAATTGTAAATCCTGGTACTGTATATGCATTTCCAATCGTCTCAGGAACAGTTCCTCTAGTAAATGAAATTTTATATAGCTTAAAACAATCCAATGCTAGTGTTTTATATACTTTACCTGCTAGCATTGAACAAATTCATAAAGATCGTCCAGATGAAATTAATACGTTATTAAAATTAAGAGCCATCAATTATGGTGGTGCTCTATTGTCACCTAAAGTAGGCGAACAACTTTTTCAATCTGGCGTCAAAACTCTGGTCCTTCCCGAGCCATTCTCTTTCTTTCTTTTCATAATGCTTATGGATTGACTGAAGCAGGAACTATTATGTTGAATATTCATTCTTCACCTGATATTCCATGGAATGCGATACCAGAAAGTTCTATAAAATGGATAGAAAGAAATGATATTGTTGATGGTGCGAAAGAATTAGTTATAAAAAAAGGTTCCCCAAATCTTGCATCCATTAAAGGAAATATGGAGAATGGTGATTATAAAATAGGTGATCTTTTTATTGAAATTCCAAAAGGTTCTGGCTTTTATATTTTACTTGGTCGAGTTGATGATACATATGTTCATACCACTGGAGAAAAGACAAATCCAATACCGATTGAAGATACAGTTCGCCGTAATGAATTTGTTAAACATGCAGCCGTAGTTGGACATAATGGACCATTCAATTGTCTTTTGATAGAACTCGATTTTGAAAATTTAAAAAGAACTCCTTTCTTGGAAGTCACCAAAAGTATTTTTGATTCAATACATCAAGCTAACAAAGAATGTCCATCACATTCACGAATCTTTGATGAAATGGTTTATATCTTACCTCTCGAAGGAAATAAATTACCACGAACATTTAAAAATGGGATTCAACGTAAAAAAGTTGAAATAGAGTTCAAAGAAGAAATCGAAATGCTTTATGATAATTTTATAAATCACAAAGTTGTACCAAATGATGTATCCCTTTCTAATAATCAATGGAATGAAGATTCCGTGAAAACTATTATATTAAATTCACTTAATTCAGCCATTGGAGATTTATTTCCTAATGAAGACGAAACCTCATTCTTTGCTCTTGGCCTGGACTCTTTATCCGCAACTAAATTACGAAATATTCTTCAAACCCAATTTTCGGTTATCAAGCTTCCTCATGATGTGATTTTCGAATATAATACAGTCCAAAGTCTTACACATTATTTGACAAAAGAATTATCAACACAAGATAAAAATGTTGAAGATGGCTACGAAGCAAAATTACAAGCTCTTAAAAATGAAGTGAATTCATATATTCAAAAATATAATAAAATCGATAACTTTCCTTCTGTGGGAAACGTTAATGGAATTAATGGAAACATGAATGAAAAAGTGGTGAAACAATCCTCCTAACAGGAGTTACTGGATCCCTTGGCTCTTTTATCCTCCGTGATTTGTTAAAAAATCCAAATGTGCTTAAAGTTTATTGTTTGGTGAGAGCGTCAGATGAAAATCATGGATGGTTTCGATTGAAAGATTCATTTGAACAACGTCATTTAGAAAATTCTTTATTATCTAAGGAACGTATAATTATTTTACCAAGTGATTTGGGAGATTCGAAATTTGGACAAACGGAAAAGATTTATTCAAAACTTGTACAGGAAGTAACACAAATCTATCACGTCGCTTGGAGATTGGACTTTAATAGCAAAATTGAAGTTTTTGAACGTGAAAATATTGGTGGAACTGTTCACCTTCTTATGCTAGCCCGTGAAGCATATGCTCATCACCGAGATGTTCACTTTAATTTTACATCAAGTATCGGTGCAAGTCTTGAATCAAAGACAAATGTTAAAGAGGATGAATTATCTCATGATATTTCAAATGCATTGCTTAATGGATACGCTTTATCAAAGTTCATTACTGAACACGTATGCGCAGAATGGTCACAAAAAATTGGGTTCAGTCTTGATATTCATCGCGTTGGACAAGTTTGTGGTGATTCAATTACGGGAGTTTGGAATACTCGAGAACATATTCCACTTATGATAAAAGGTGCACAAGTTATGAAAATTATGCCGACTTCGTATTCCTCAATTGTTGATTGGATTCCTGTTGATGTTGCATCTCAAAGTATCGTTGACATTTCCTTGAATGCATCTTTCGATGGTGATAATGTTCGAGTTAATCATATACTTAATCCGAAGAAAACCACATGGAGTGAATTCTTGAAATCTTTACAACAAAGCGGAATAGACTTTAGAATTGTTTCGAATAAAGAATGGTTAAATACATTATTAACGACACCTGAATATCAAAATGTGGATAAAAATCCAGTAGCCGCATTATCGGGATTCTTTGATAATGTTATGAGTGAATCATCACATGACAGTGAAAACATGATCCATTATTCGAAACTCAGAAATTGTCAAAAAATTGATGTGAAATTAATCAAATTATATGTAAATAATTGGAAAAAGATTTCATTCCTAGATTAAATTTAAGCAAACATCTTTTTATTATGTTTTACGATTCAAAGTTTTATTATTATTATTATTATTATTATTATTTCTTATTTTTTTTTGCATTTAATTGTACTATATTGTAAAAACTAGGTTAATAAAGAGATATTGAAATTTAAGTTTACACACATATATATGTTCTTTTTTATTGGGATCTTTGATGTATAACTAAGAAAACTTTAAAAGGTTCGGCATGATAAAACTGATTTTAATATTTATCGAGTTAAAACTGTTAAAATAAAACAAATAATTTATATCTATAATTAAAATTATTAAGAAAATCTAAGCAAACACATAATGTATACTTGGATATTAATATTAAAACATAAATTAACTCTACTTAAGGTTTGGGTTAGCTTTAGAGTTGGCAATATTTATGGTATATACAGTACTAAAATTTTGCAAGGAATATTTTTTGTTAGAACCCCAAAAGAAGGTTTATAATCTAGATTTTGAGGTATCAACATATGTATGTACACATACTGTAGTGTAATAGAAGTTCTCAATTATTAATTAAAATTAATAATAAATTATATTAAATGAATTTATTTAAAATTCACCGGTGAAATATAATTTCATAGATTTAAAAAATTTACCTCAAAATGGTAAAATTAAAATTAACCTTAGGGTTAGGGTTTAGGTTTTTTTAGGGTGCTGAGCATTTTTACTTAGTTCGCCAGACACTAATTATTAAGATCGTTTTCTAGAAACGGTGAATTTTACCTCCGGTGAGCGTTTAAATCGGCCATATTATATATTATCCAAAATTATTATAATATCTAAAGTCATGAATATAGTTTAGGACTAATAATATGGCAAGCAATAGTTATGCAATAGAATAATTTCTTTCATTAAGTTCCAACCACCCATATGAAAAATTCTTTGTAGTAATATACTGTAGATAAAAATAAAAAATTACTACAAATCACCGGTGGTGTTCAACACTTACGTACGTACATACAGTATGTAGTAGGTTTTGAGATAAGCAACATCGGTGATGATAACTAGTAGTGATAGCAAACTTCAAAAATATATATAAATTAATGACCGACAACAAACAATAAACAAGTTAAACGATTATGAACTTAAAAGAATTGATAAAATCAAGAAACAAAAATTTAGTAGGACCATGTAAAGTTGTTTAATTGGTTCTCATAACCTGGCCTAGTCAAATTTTGAAAATTTTTTATGTTTTAATAACCGGGTAGGTTTTTAAAAAAAATTTATAAATTGCTATATATATAATTAAAAAAAAAAAGCTGGCCGGCGGTCTATTATTTAAAAAGTTTCATGTTACGAGAACCAATAAATTAGCCTAACGTAAATATTATATATCGATATATATATATTATATATCGATATATATATATTATATATATATTTATTATTACTTTATGTGTTACATTTATTATGCCGATTGAACCATGTGACTACTGCTGTAAATTTTCACTAATTATATGTTAATGTTAGGTATTGGAAATTTGTCAGTGAAATTGTGTGCTTTCAAAAAATTGTAAACCGTGTTTTACTAGATGCTATTTACAATGTTAATAATCTTTTGATACTCTTCATCACAATTATCATGAACTTTGATCAATAAGGCATGTAAAACACACGAACTCTCATCAAAGCAAACGTATTGCATTTCATCTGATGAAATCTTCCCTTTGTACAATTTATGGATGTCGGTGTGATTAAGCATGCATTTCGTATATGAGCCTTCTCCTTCTTGAGCATCAATGGAATTCGGCTTTTGTCGTACAATGAAGATCGTTTGAAAATACTTATCTCCCCATTTAGTCATCGGTGCGTACAATTGTGAGTACAATGGGACCTTTGATGTGTAAATTCCACAACCATATGCCGACCCATGCGCTGATTCGATTTTATTATTGCCAGCAAAGGTTCCAGACTTCTTCAAGCCGTATTTAAGAATACTCTTGATATTCTTTGGGTCAGTTCCATGATAACTGTATGTCCACTCATAGTTGTAAAATAAATGATATCCTTGTTTCAGTACGAATTTCGAACATTTTGATCGATGCCCACCGCGATTTTCAAGATGACAATAATTGGAGAGATAATAGCAATTGTCTTGATAGCTGAACAATGATTCGTCAAGCTGCAAATATTCCTTAATGAACTTATGTGAAATCGTATAATCAGATTCTCGTCCAAGAGCACCTGCTCCGTACAAATATCCTTCATTATATGTCATTTTTACATTAAATAAGGTTTTGGTATTTTAGAAGCAAAAAGTCAATGGAATATCGCGGCATTTTTATAGAGAATTTTTTCATATACACATCAGTAAAATACAATTGGGAATACCAATGACTGACTAGGTTTTTTGCGTTAACATTTTGAACACATTCTAAAAAGTGTCATTGAATTGGGTTTTTGAGTCAACATTTTGATAAATTTAGAAAACATTCTAAAACTGTATTTAATTAGGTTTTTTGAGTCAACATTTTGATAAATTTAGAACACGTTCAAAAAGCGTAAATGAGTGTCGCCAAATGCTGAAATGAAAACATGCTACACTCACATGATCTCGCCCGGAGCGTTAACAGAGAACTCCATACTATGAAATCATATCAGAAACGTAATTTAGAAATACTGTGTTTATCCAGTGTTGCCCACTGAAACGTTCCAGTGAAAATTACTGAAACTAATTGGAAGGAAAAAGTAATATATTCCCTTCCAGTGGTATGTTATCACTGGACCCTTCCAGTGAGGATTTTTAAGTGAGTTCCAGTGGCTTCCAGTGGTATTTTTTTTGTTTACAACAAAAATTACTATATCTGATTTGCATATGCCTCTGCCATTAACGATTCGGGTATTACAAAACCTTATTTATGATTTCAATTGTGTCGAATTTTGGAAATTGGAATTATATGCATGCTCAAATAAAAGAATCGAACATATATATCGATATGCATATTAATACGTATAAAATATAATTGAAAAATAAAGAGAATTTTTTTAAAAAAAATTATATTTATTTTAACCCAATTTAATTCTAAGCAGATTCGCTTCGGAAATATAATATGTTTAACTTGAAATTTTATTATTTTAAAGTGACTTGCTTTGATTCCAAAAATTTCAATGAAATACAATTACTCAATCGCAAGAAATCAAGAAATCTCTTACGCCCTCCTTGGCCTAAATAATCGATAATGTAATACAATGAAATACTTACCATCTCATTAGCATTTGATAATACAACTTTGATGACACTAATTCTAACATTTGTCACGTAAACCAGCCGTTACATTTTACCTAAAATATTCTTGCAAAGTTAGATATTGTTTCAAGAGCTGCTCTGAATTTGATTATTTTAGTTAATAAATTCAGCAGCTACTTGGAAAGGCACTATTAAAACGAATTCTAATTGTGATTATGATGTTAGTTGTATAAAGCGGTATATTGGCGCAATTCTAATATAATATCCTTGATTAACAATAGTAGAAAGATTCCAAAAAGAAAAATGCAAAAAAATGTATGCATATATTTTAATGGAGAATAAACCTGATCTTTCTCTGTTAAGTTCTAGTTATAATGAACACTAAGTCTTGCTTGTGCTATGCTTGTGGGAAACATAATAGCATTTAATCCATGTGAATAAATGGCTAAAGTCAAACTGCACATGTTATCTTTAGTGACGTGTTACTAGAAAAAAGTATTGAGCTATGATTATAAAAACTTCCTTCTTTGCAATGCAGATAATTCGGTTGAAAAATATAATTGCGTGATTGCATGTGAAAAAATGAACAATCTTTGGGGCATTAGAATAAGGGAATTGCTATTTTTATCATGATTATATAGAAATTTTATTATTAGATAATAAAATTAAAAACTCTAATTAACCCTAACTTTAAATTTTAATACTACTTTAGCTCTAAAACTAATAAGTAAAAGTCTAATTAAAGTTGTAGAGTTTGGTTTTCTAATTCTAATAGTAGTTAAATCATCAAATTGGTCTAGTAAATTTCAAGATACAGTTTAACCTTTCTATAGTTATATTTTTTATAATTGTAAAATTAATATAATCACAATTTTAATTTTACTAATTTTTTTTATAATAATTATATCTTTATATAGACAAGGTTGGCTTATATCATTATAGCATTTTTTTAAAAACGAAGTATATATATTAAAATAACCTTTTTGGTATAGATAAAACTGACTGTATATCTATTTTTAGTAAAAATTTTATCTAAATTGATGAGTAATTATTAAAAAAATTAAATTAAAGTTGAAAATTAATAATTATATTAGAGGTGTGCTGTTTATTACGTAATTTTTCTTTACTATATGACAGTACCCCCCTCCTTCCTACGTGATACTATATTTTTAAAATTATCTAAAACCGTGTTCAATCATATGACCATTGGCTAATTAAATTGCAAAATTTATCCAAAATTAAAATTACCCCAAGAAGTTAAAAAAAATTAATCGAATTCAAATATTGTGCAATTTTTAAAATTCAATGAAATACTTAACATGATTATATAATTCAAGTATTATTCAGAATTTAATTCACAACTATGAATTAAAACCAATCTATATAACAACACTAATTTATCCTTTTTGGAATTCAATTAGAGTGATTGCATCTCACAATAATCGGGCCTTTATGTACAAATTTATAAGGCCAAATATCAAATCAAGTCAAATTTGAGAATATTTATATATACAATCCAAACTAGTAAAATTTAACTCAAAATAGATAGATTAAAGTTAGATTTTAGTAATGCAATAATGCAAATAAAGAAAAGATTAACATTACCTCAATCATAAAATCAAAGTTTCATGAATCGTAGAATAAAAGTAGCTTAGACAAATAAAATAGAAATTTACCTTTTGATATAAAAGTCCCATTAACTAGAATGTGCTGTGAAAAGCCATATTTTAGTGCCTATATGCTAATTTTGCATAATAGTATATGACTTTGTCTTATGATTTCAAAGTCAATATGTTCTGAAGCCACTAATCCTAAAAGTTAAGTAATGCAATTCATAGTCGCTTATATAAAGCAAAGCAGCGATACCAAAATAGTCGAAGCTATTAAAAGGCTTAGCAAAAATCTAAAAGTAAATTCGAATAAATCTTCAAATTCACACGAAAAGGAAGCAAAAAAAAAAAATCTGATGAAAAAAATCTAATTAATGCGAAAGAAATATAAAACTAAATGAATTGCTTCTTATTACTAAGCTCAGCCTTATTAAATTATAGATCTTATAAAATAGATAAGATTGAAGGTGATAGAGTTTATAAAAAAAAGTAAAAACATCCTGAATTCAGATTAATAACCCGATAGTATATAGCTTTTTTCTTATCTTTAGTTTTAAAGTACCATTGCTCAAAATGAGCCAAAGTTTTCTTTCTGTGCCTAAGTTTCTAAAAACTTATCTATATACTACTTTAAAATCTTGTACCATGAATTCTGTAATGCCTTTGCCTATTTTATGATGATTAAAGCTTGTGATCCAAATATAAAATGACAGAATTTAATGAATACAGCAAATAAAGAATGCCAAAAATATCGAAAAGAACCTGAGATAGAAATTAGAAAACTAATTAACCAATATCTTGCAGCAAGTTCACCAATTATTCAAATAGCAAACTTTTTTCTCCCTCCAAATTTACCTAGTTCAAGATCATTAAATTCAAATTCTAATGTTAATTCTGACACCAATTCTACTCTACCTTCTTCATTTAATGAAATACCTACTATTGCACCTAATGCATTAGCTCAACATCAAGCTTTGGAATTAATTCAAAAGGCAAAATCTAAAATAAGTAAATATGAAACTCTAATGATTTATACTAGTAACAAAGATTTTTGACTTCAAATTGGTAAAAAATTGAAAGATGTTTGTGAAGCCATTGCACAAAAAAAAAAGCATTTTAATTTGCTTCAAAGTTGTGCCGCAGCTCAGGGGAGATTTCGGAAAAAAAGAAAAAAACAAATTGAAGATGAGATTGTTGAAATATATGATACTAGAGGACGTCTATCTGAACTTCAAAAAAATCCAGACTTACTTGACCAAATACACAAATGCGTTGAATTTGGTGCAGCTGATAAAAAAAGAAAAAAAACTATAATTAAGGTTCGAACTATTAAGTATTTAAAAGAGGCATTACAAGAAAAATATAATATTTATATTACTTGGCAAACACTTTCAACTTATCTTTTGCCTCAACATGCCAATACATATAATGCACTTCGTTACTGCTATTTTGCAAATATTAAAACTAATGCAGTTTCTAGGTTTGAGATGAAACCGCATATAGACGAACACTTTTGTTTTGCATCAGTCAAATCAGTTAGAGTGTTTGCTTCAACCTTTGCCAACTTTAGCCTTATTATCTCACAAGATAATAAGGCTAAAGTTGGCTTAGATATACCAGCAGTTGGTAGAACATTTCAAAGTATACAATCGTTTAATAAACCTGTTACTGTCTCTGACTATGATTTCCCCATAGTGCAAAACAAAAACTTATACCTTCAGTTTACCTAATTATTAATCCTGAAAATACTAATAAATCTTTGCATCAAGGTCAATTATCTATTTATATTTGTTCTGAATATTTTGCAGGAACTTCTTCAATGATACATATGAAAGACTTACTTGATATTTCAAAGCGCAATGAGTATGCAGAAATACTAAAACATGATGAATATCTTAAGACTATATAGATTTTGTTGGTAGATGGTGGACCTAACAAAAATCCTAAACATTTAAAAAATATAATTAAATATTGTTGCTTTTTTCGTGAGCTTAATTTAGACTATTTATCAATTTAAACACATGCTCTTTACTATCTGCATATAACCCGGTTGAGCGTAGCATGTATACACTTTTTGAAAAGCTTGCCGGAATTAAATTACCAGTTGATAGATTTGGATCATATCTTAATAGTCAAGGAGTAGTTATAGATAAAAATTTGGCAAGGTATAACTTTGAAGTTGCTAGTAAGTGTTTATGTGAAATTTGAAAGCATGATAAAATTCATGGAAAGCAAGTATATGTTGATTATGTCGACTACAATGAAGACCCATTTCAAAACAATAGAAAAGAAATTCTATTATGGTTGTAGATAAAAAGTCATACACAAATTTGCTGTTACTCTCTTGACATATGAAAGTGCTCTAATCAAAATTGTTGTAATGAAATCTATACAAAAGAGGTATTTGATCTGTTAAGAGAGAATAATAGATTTCTTTTGCCATTGGTTAAAGAAAAAGATAATCATTATTTAAATCTAATTCATATTTTGCAATATATGGATAAAATAAAGTTATCCAATTATGATGAAATATACTCTTCAATTTCGTTACAGCAGTATAAAAGACTTTGTTGCAATGTGTGTAACAAATACTTTCCTACTATGAAAATAATCACAAACCATAAAAAGGCAAATCATTCTAAAAAAGCATGCAAACAAAATACAAACCAGACCTTTGCACAACCTTCCATTGAATCTACAACCGACACTCATCTAATTTTTCCTTCAAGCTCTATAGTGACATATTTGTCTACAGAAGAAGTTAATGCATCATTAGATTCGCTTAATACCCAACAAATTGAATTAAGTAATGCAGCATTTTGGAAAACTTCACCATTTTATCTTTTATTGATCTTTCACACAAATTCGACCCTTCTAATTTACTGGAGGCACTTTCTGATACCAAATAAAATTGTAAGTAGTTGATCGTCTAATATCAATTTAATTCATTATTTTATTATACTTAATTCTCTTTTTTATTTCTTATTTCGCAACTAAAACATATCATATAAATAAGACAAAAAGAAATAAAATAATCAATATGCGTATTATAAAAAAAAATGAAGTTTAGAAATAAGAATAATACCTCTTTTTTTGATGATAAATGATTCAACTCACAAATAAACCATTAATCTTGTCATGTTCTAGTATACATTAATAAAATACTTTTTATTTAAATGTAATTAACTTAATTAACATGATCAAATAAATTTATTATATATATACTAGAGTTTCAAAATAAGAAAAAAAAAAATTGAGATCTCAAACATATTGAAAGTATATATCTAATATAGTAGCTGGTAGTATGTATGTACATATATACGTACATATGTACAATTCTTGATAATCTCATAATTGCAATATCACATGTTAAAAAGCCAATCAAATACCAAGGCTAATATAGACATGATAAATCTCTGCCACCCCCTCCCCCCTAAAAAATTATGTAATAAACGGCACACCCCTTAGACTACAATTCTGTATAAATACTTATATAATATAGATTCCAGAAACATTAAGTTTGAATATCTTCTATACTAATATCTTTATTTAATAACTTCTTGTATAAATTTAAAAAATTTATTAACAAATTAGAATAACAGATTTATTTTTTATTTATTTTTTTTTTAAATTTCAGCAGTCTTATTTTTACTTTATTAGGTTTAATAATATTATACTTTGAAATATTAAATTTTTCAAAAAGCTATTCTCCTGACATCTAAGTTACAAGTATCAGCTCACCTAGTTGTTCTTTGCAAATACCTATGCATAACCTGCTATAGTAAGGTTTACCTCTGTATTAATTTACCTTGCAAACAAGTTTATCAATACTTTATTAGATGGTTCTTATAGCCTATCAAGACTGCTAATTTATTTTTTACTATTCTGCCTTCTGCCTACCTTTTATCCAACTTAGTACTTCATTTTTTGTTATTTCTAATACAGTTTTTTATTTTGCTATGACTTCTTTTATTGGTTCTTTTTTTTCATAGATCTTATCTGTTGGGCCTTTTTTTTCTTTGCCTTTTTTTTTTTTTTCTTTTTTTGTTTTTTCTTGGTATCTGCACTATTCTCACTTTTTTTTTCGTATTATACCATTTTTTTTTTTCCAGTCCTGTACTAATTTGCATCTTTCGATCCAAATTTCATCATATATTTTTATCATCTATCTCTTTTAGAGTTTTACTATGAAGTCTCTAGTTTGTTTGTTGGACGTAAATACTGGCCATATTTAGTAAAGTTATCTTTTGTAATCAGACTTCTTATTTATTTCTCTTTTCTTTGTAATTCTGTAGTGAGACTTTCTTTTCCCATTATAACTAAGATCTCTTTTTTTCTTTTCATCTATATTTTGTATTTTTTCTATTTCTTTAAAGATCAACTCTACTTCTTGCTCTTCAATATCTCATATTAGCTTTATCAATACTTCACAGCTTATTAGATATTCAATATTTTCTGTTTTTTTATTACATATTACATCTATCAGTTTTGTATAATTCAGGTTTTTGCTAATTAAGCTTTTTAAACACTAGTAAAATATTGTTTATATACTTTAATTCAAAGAGCTGTACTGTATTCAATCTGTAAATATAATCATGCTGCTTAGTTTTATTTATTTTTTTTTTTGTTGTTAAGGTGAGACCTTGCTCGTATTTTTATTGAGTAATTTATACAAGTGATTATATAAAACTACATAACTACTTAATTTGTATACATACAAAAAATATAAATTATATTCAAGAATGAGAGCTCAGACTAAAAGCTAAACTAAAACTCCACCAGGGTAGAGCTTACTGCTAAACTAATTATCTGCGACCTAAACCTACTAGAGTGGTCAAGACTCACCTAGGATGCTGCTTAGTTTCACTCTCCAAGATTTTATAGAAAATTGGCTAATATTGTATTATTGCTTTTTCTTGATATGTAATATTTTAACTATTATATAAAAATATCTATTCTGCTCTATTTATAACTTTTTCTAATATTTTAACAAAAGAGTATATTGGTTTTTCTATAACCTCATTCTCTCAATTGTATCTTAGCTTAAATTTCTTTGTGTCTAATACTGTAGAAGTTAAAATCTTTGTAAATCTTGCATCTTCTTTGGCTTTGAGATCTGCTAAATCATTAAATATATCTTCTAAATAACTCTTAATTTTTATAAGATACAGAATTAGTTGCTTCATTTTGACTATTATTACTATTGTTGTAAGCAGATTGCTATTTTTAACCTTAAACCATTGTCTTGCTTTATTTGCTTCAAACCCTTTTTTGATTGCAAATATGGATGCACTACTATTGGTTTTTATTTCTATTTCTCTTTTTTTAAATATTACTAGTAGTGTTACCAAGATTGTTACTAACTTTGATAGGAACTACTTTTTAGTACTACAAGCTATTTGGATATTGACATTTTCCATTTTGTAAGACATATTATTAGTTGATATATTCTATCACATTGAGCTTTAGTTAAACATATGAGTATAAGTCTGTATTCTAGTGTGAGTATAAGAACTGCATTGTTTATATATATAATCTGGCTAAATAACATCTTCTTATATTTAAGTAACCCTATTACTTTGTTCATTTCTTTCTTTGCTTTATATAAATCTGATCTTTGCTGGCTTTTGGTTAAAATTTGCATCCCAAAAAAATGAAACAATTCTTTTAAGCTCTTGGCCAAAATCTTTGTTTTTGAACTACTAGCCGATATGAATAGATTATTTTCTATTTCTTTTCTTTCTAGTTTTGCTATTACTAACTCAGTTTTGTTTAGATTTATTTCAATATTATTTAGTTTGTAGAATTTATTTGATAGATTGATTGTCTCTTGTATACTTTTCTAATTATAGATAACCTATGTTATGTCATCTGTGTATACTAAAACACCTATTCTTAATTTTTACCTTCCACTTTTCTATTAGCTTCTATTCTACTATCTTGTATTTTGTAGCCTAATCTTGCATTTTGTATTCTACAGAGGAGTGGGTCATAGAACATTCTCCAGACCAAAGGTGACAGAACCTTCCCTTGGTCTATACTGTTTTCTAAGAATAACAGATTTAATATTACACAATTTAAATGAATTATTTATATTAGTAATCTAAATATTATCATTATACACAAATATTTTTAGTATATAGTTATAGATAATTTATAAAATTAATCTATCTAAATATATATTAGGCAAAACCTGATTGCTATTAAAGTACTCAAGTATGGTTATCATGCTAATATTTGCTAATAGATTCTACATGCAGTAATATATATATTTAAAAACCTGCTATAGTATGATACTCAGCTACCTTATTTTTTATATTTTTTTCTATTTTGATAAAAATAAGCTCAAGATTTGTAACCTTATTGTTTTTATTGCTAAATTATAAACTTCAACTATTTTTTCTTCTACTTTAACTAATGTATTCTTCCTTTTCTTTATTTTTACTACTTTTGCTTTCTTTTGTTTGAATGACTTGCTAATAATGATTTATTATCTACTAAGGAGTCTTCTGTATTTTCTATATCTTTTTTCTCTTTTTATAGCCTTACTCTCTTCTTTTGTTGCTTTGACTTGTTTTTTCTGCTGCTTTTTTGGCTAATTTTTTGCCATATAAGTATTTCTTGTTAATTCTTTATTTCCTGCTATAGAGTTAGTTTTTGCTAGAGAGTCATCTTTATCTCTAGGCCTTTTTCTTTTCTTGGTAGCTCTGTTTATATCCATACTTTTTTCTCATGCTGTGACTTGCTCATATTTTTTTCTCCATATCACTCTATAAAAACACTTTTGTATAATATAAACCAATATATTATAGCATTATCTACTTGACTTATATCTTTTATTTATTACTTGTAGACTTGAAAAATTAGCTTAGTAGGCTAAACCATATATGAGAGCTTTCTTTTTTTTTAACTTTTTTTCTTGCATACTCCCAAAGACTTACCTTTCTAATTTCTTCTATAGAATATATTAGTCTAGTTTCTTCTTCAAGCATAACCCATGCTGTCGATAAAACTTGATTTTCTATTTGTCTCCAGACCTCTTGATAAGCCTTACAACTAAAAAATGATTTATATTCTTTATTTTATTTTCTTTACAAATTATATATCGGTGAGGTATATATGTCTGGATTGTGTTAGTAAAGTTTGTATAGTGTTGAAAGCATGCCAAATAATCCTTTTAACTAGCTTACAAACTTATTACTATCTTGAAGCAATTTATATCTTTGACCTCTCAGCTCTTTTAGTCTTTTCTAGCAATGTGATCATATGGGTTATCTTTTTAGTCTAATTATTGCAGTGGTTCACACCTTTTGATAAATACCACTCACTCTTTATGAGCCTTCTCTTTAATTTCAGTATAAACTTTTGAAGTAGATGTTTAATACTTCTTTCTTGCCATCTTATATCAAAACTCCAGTGTAATCACAGGTTATTTGGCCACTTCCACATTTCATTGAGGTAAGCACCTTCTTTTGCAATGTTATCTGCCTCCTTATTTCACTTTACTCCATTATGTGTTTTGACTAGTGAATTGACCCATCTAAAAAATCTTCACCTGGGTCACCTGTCAGGTGGACAATATGCCACCTGGGTGGAAATGAGTCAGGTCACCCGATGGGTCACCCAGGTTAATTTAAAAGTTTTTCAATACATCCATAATGTTAAAAGTGCTTGAGAGTATTTTGCAAATTTTCTGTCTAACCCAGCGGGATGTTTTGAAAGAACTATATTTCTGTATTTACATCGATATATCAATTTATTGAACCTATTATGCCGAAATCACAAACTTAATTGAATCAGCAAAAAATCATCCGGCCAATTTTTGTCAGGTGTCTTAGAAATTATGATAATAACTTCAAACAAATTATGGATATAATATACTGCAAAACTATGAGCCAACTCGTGGGCCAACTCACAGGTCTCCCACGGGTCATCCGTGGGTCAACCCGCGGGTTGACCCACCCTTTTTCACCTGGGTTGCCATAACTTAACCCGGATCACCCGCGGGTGACCCGGGTGACATCCACCCGGGTCAAATCACTATTTAGTGTGCAATTTCAAAACCCAGATTATATGAATAATAATAGATAAGTTTTTTGTTTTTGAATACCTTCTATCTCTTTATACATAATTATATTGATATTTCTACCAAAATTAATCATAAAAGCCACTTTCATGGGCAACCAACTTGCGTTATTAAATAATTGAACTCTAAATTTAACAAATATCTACAAGCTGCATCAAAATAAAATCTTGGAACTTAACCTCCTATTCAAATTATACAGTTATTTTAAAATTACAACTCCATGTAACGTATTCTGGTTCAGATCTTGGAAAGAACTATGCGCTGGTATTAACAGCACACATAAATTGTAACAGATTAACGATTTTATTATAAATAAAAGAACGCTAGAAATTAAAAATTTGTTATTAATTGTTTACTGATTAGTTGCTCTTTTTGGGTTACACTGATTTGGTCAACCTGAGCTTTGATGTTACAATCTTAAAGTTAACTAGCGAAAGGTTTTTGTAATATTAAAATTACATGAAATATGTGCGTTTTTATTGGTAAATGCTGTTTGCTATTCGTGCATTTTTATTGGTTAATTTTATACTGGTTCCAGTGGAAAATCCCACTGGAACCAATGGAAGGCTGGAAAATTCTCGACTTCCAGTGGAATTCCAGAATTCCAATGGCAACACTAACTGTTTACCCACACGCGTATATATATAATATGTACGTTCACAAATACTTACGTGTTATACAGTGTACAGTATGTACTCCGGACTTAACAAAGAATGATATTTAGTTTGATGGTTTTTAATAGAGTGATTAAACTATAGACTTTTTGTTGATCAGATGTAGTTTATAGCATTTTAGTGACTCATGCTTTTCTCTGGACAATAATATTTCCTTTACAGTATCTAGTGAAACCATTCATATATATTGAAAAAAATGTCAAACTGTACGTGTTTTTGTTTAAAGAACTAAGGTTATAAAAAATAAGATTTATTATTTAAAACAATAAAATGAATGTTCAAATCTAGAATCTAGATTTTATAAGAAAATCCAACTACATTAGCGTTAAACATCTATAAACCAAAATATATACACATTCCATTTGTTTTAAATAATCTGTATTTTATTCATTAAATAACTTCTTCCTTACAAACACCATCAGAATCTCTGAAAAATATAAATAAAAATATTCCAGTAATAGATGAAATTGCGGCTAAAATGCTATATTGCCAAACTAGATAAGGATCTTTTGATAACGGGACAAAAACAAATCCTAGTAATGATCCCGCAGCTAAAGTCGTTAAGTATAAAGCTGTTATTGTAGATTTAAGTTGTAATGGTGCCTAGCATAAATCATATATATATATATGTAAATGAAAAAAATTTTTAGTCATTCATAAATGAAAATGAAGAGTGGATCACTATTAAAAAAAGGTACCTTATCGTAAACATAATTAAGACCCGTGATACATACTAAAACTGATAAAACAAAAATGATCGTGATTAATGATAATTTCGAGCAAAAAAAAGATAAATTTATGAAAACATACTTTCTGAAAATGCAACTAGAATATAAGAAGGAGCTTGCCACCAAATACTAATGTCGTTTGGAACTGGTTTTCCATCAATTATACAACGGGTTTCCTCAAAACATGGACCAGTATTATAAATGATATACTGGACAATTGCCGAATATAACATTGCAGAAGCGATTATTATAAAACCAATGGAGATACGCGTTACAGGATGAGAATTAATACCGATGCGTCTCAAGGCAGGATAGCTTTCAAAAAAAAAATAAGCTTCTTTTAATATAAAAAATAAATAAATAAATAGTATCAAGTTAAAATAGAAATACTTACAAGATGTGGTTGGCGATAGGAGTGAAAATCATCAAAGTAATAGGATTCAAATTATACATCATATCGTTTGGTATGAACTTAACCGTCATTGTAGCGGCTTGAGAAATTAAATTATTATAAACTTGCATATAACAAACCCAATAAATGGGATATGTTAGAATAACTCTATAAGCTTTAATTGTTGCTCGTATTTGATCCACGAATTTATCATCCCATTTAATTTTGTATTGTTTTGCGGCGTCCAAGGAAAATTTTGATGGTTTAGCATTATCAAGATTTCTACCATGTTTAAAAGCCAAACGAAAAACATTGAATAAATCCAACAATGCAGAGCTATTTGGTTGTATTTTAACATATAGATCATTTCCAGAGACAAAGACTATAACTGAAATGAGAAACATTATAGTAGGAATGAGGAAAGCCAACCAAAATGAATGATATTTTTCAATGTAAGTTGTGATCAATGGAGAAAGAGATCCAAAGCTTAATGAAAGAAAGAACCAATGGAACATTGATGAGATGGTGAGACCTGGATCGACAATAACTTTTTTTCCAGACTTCAAAGTTTTAACGTAAGGATCTTTGCGAGGAAATTGATCCGCAGCCATAGTGACACAGTTTGTCTTTCAATAACGATAGTAAAAGATATTTTAATATTTTTTTGCGTACAATTCTTGTATATCTTAAAATACCTTGATTCCTCCGGTTCCGATCCCGATAATGATCATTGAGACTATAAGGCCAGGTAATGAAGCTTTGGCCTCTATTGCGGGCGGAATTGCAGTGAGCGTTAAAATAATTAACCCGGTAATGTACACTAGAGAAAAGATAAGAATTGTCTTATATCTTCCTAAATATTGATCTGCTATGATGGCGCCCAACGCAGGAAGCGCAAAACAAAAAAAATGAAAGAAAAGATTTAGAGTTGTCGCGGTTTGTTGACCGGCGCCAATAACTCCAGGTTGACCGTCTTTTTCTTTTGGAACAGGAAATTCGATGTAGTTTTGGAAAGGTCCCGTCGCGCCCCTTAAATTTTCGGGAAAATTTTGATGTCATTATAGTAATCTGCTTGCGATCGAAGGGTTACAAAACAGGAAAACTTTGATACCAATAGGCAAATCTTTCACAAAATTCACATATGCAAATTAAAAATACGGCTGCATATATGTTTAACATTAGGTAAATAAATAAATAAAATAAATGAATTAATACAATAATTTTTGGATACTAAGTTCTTTAACTTATGGATACCCTTTGGCATTCTGTCTGGAACTTTTTCTAAGGTGGCTAGTTCTTCTAAACTTGGTTGTTTCTCCTGAGTACGTGAAACATCATTTCGCGTTGATACTTCTATTCGAGTATCTTTTTCGTCAATCTTGTACAATTCAATAGTTTCGTTTTCTTCTGTCATGAGTTTTTTTTTTCTTTTTTTTTTTTGCTTTTAATCAATTTATATGGAAAAAAGCTAATCTAAGCATCAAAATGAGTTTTATCAATTTTTGCCATAAAAGATATGATGTCACATCGCATCATTGAATTTACATATCGAAATTACTGTTACTTGACATTTATCAATAAACGTTTGTTTGTTTCAAACCAATATAAATTTATTTGAAACAATAGCAATTAATTGGCCAAGCTTAACCAAAAATCGTTCATATCATTTTATCAGGCAACAGCTCATGCATCGTAAACGACGAGATATCGCGGTAAGATTGCCTACAAAATGGCGCATAAATTATATGAATTGTATAAAAACCGTTCGGACTTTCAATTATATTTTCTGTACAGTTAACCGTCTATGGAAAATCTACTCTGATTATAATTTTCCATAGACGGTTAACTGTACACAAAATATAATTGAAAGTCTGAACGACCTTTTTCCTTTGGCAGCACTCATTTAGCATGAAAATTTGAAACAAACCTCTTCAGATCTAACAAAGTACACATCGTTAAATGGTTCGGGTGCAACTACATCCATCAAAAACACTGCACAACAATTCGTGTATTTTGAAGTTGTTTGATTCTGAGGAGGAATCACACCAGTATATTCATGGGAAATGTTGGCAGTTGGTGCTAGCCAGATGAATTCTTTCAATCATCAAAGAAAAAAAAAAAAAATTAGGCAATTTTCAAAAAAGGTTAAAAATGAATGCTGCAATTAAACTTTTAGAGATAGACTAAAAAAAAATATGGTCCCGTGATTTCTGAGTTATTTCGACGGGGTTTACTAATTTTCCTCACCACTTCATTATTGGAGTATTATATTTGCTGGCAAACCCCGAAATTTCAAAAAAAAAATTGCCATTTGTAATCTAATATCTTGCAAATATATTATCTATAAGAATATTTACTATTTTGTAAAACAAAGATTATTGATGGTAAAAAAAACATTTTAAACCATGTGATGAGTATGATTCGAATACATTAAATTTAGACTCCGCATATCCAAATCATAAACATCACATGTTTTTAAAACGGTGAAAAATGTTTTTTTTACCATCCCTACGTAGCAGCAAGTATAGACTACAAACGACTCGATTGATCGATCGTAGTAAATAACTGATATTATCGTAAGATACCGAATTCTTTATCAATTTCACGGGACCTAGAATTTTTTAAAAAGCTAGTCTACTTTCAGCACCGCAACATCTTTTGTATAACGGTAACGATAATTCAAGTACGTTTACAGTTTTAATTGCGGCTTCATCTCTACACGTAATAGTTTCAAGCCATACTTACTTCCAAGATCACGAGTTTTCGCCAAAGATAGTTGAGGCCCGTTTCGAATAATTCCACAAGTACAACATTCAAAATTCTTGCATAACATATCTATATTATTCAATTCTTTAATATTACAAGAATGTTTGGTTCCATGATATAGTTGCAAAGCACTTGTATTAACGTCCTGGTTTTGCTTAAATTCTTGATGTTTTTTAACGATGTGTTCTGGCATATTAATTTTGATAATCGAATAAATGGTAATATTCCAATCTGGAAAATGTGATTTAAAAGAAGAATAAAGGCTCATATATTCAAGAGAGGAGGATGAAAGAGGTGTTAATTGGGTCATCATTCGTAGGGTATAAGCACACATGCACTGTACATACATATATACGTATAAGTAAATTTCTATATCTGAAATAAGATCTGTTTACGTATCGTTTATTTATTTATTATTTGTAATAAAAAATTCCTACTGATTATGATTTACTATCATCAGGTGATGTATCAGCCGCAGAGGACGGACCATATTCTTATTTTAAATATTTGTATTTGTAAATGTTATTGAATATTCCTAAATGAATGTTTGTGAAAGGAAATTGTAAGAATAACATGATCGATCACTTGATCATTTACGTATTATCATTTACTACGTAATTTTTGTGATCATCTCAATCTTTTTAATAAATAAGTTTTCTTAAACTCTCTAATTTTTCGTGTCAACGAATATTAAAACATTATAATGGTTTTTCCTCCTTCATTAACTCAATATATCAAGGCGTTCTACAGCTTTTTTGGTAACCAACCGCAAAGTTTTGATCATCTGGAAGATATTACTGCCCCAGATAACATTCATCCACAGCTTGATGATAAATGTCTTAAAGAAGTCTTTAAAAACTTTAAAAATGATACAAAAACTTTACATTCGTGCGTTTCAGTAAGTCGTAAATGGTGCGAACAAGCCATTCCTGTACTCTGGGAAGACCCATTCTGCATATTCTACAAGAATGATACTTTAGTTCAAACATATTTATCATGTCTTTCCGAGGAGAGACGAAATTATTTGATTGAAAATGGACTTTTTATTCCTGAATTTTCAAATCCGAAATACAATTATCCAAGTCATATAAAGAAAATTGATTATCGAAAGTTGGATTTAGCGATTTCGAGATGGCTTACAAACAATAAGAACAAAGCTATTCCCAAATTTATATGTCTTGTTGCCCAAGAAATTACCGGTCTTATAATAAATCAGTCTAAAGACTTGCATTGCTTGAGGGTATCTAAAGGTCCAGATAATATTAATGTACCAAATTTTAAAATTTGTACTGGTTTTGAAGAGTCTGTTTCTGGACTTCGAACTTTTCAACTATCTGGAATTTTCAGAGAGGAAAGCGAAATTAATAATATCGCTTATTTAACTTCCGTTATTTCTACGAAATGTCAAAATATAGAACATTTACATATAAATCTATCATGTTCATATGAGTCAAGAATACAAAAAAATTTGTTAAATATAGTAGGTTCGCAGAAACAACTTCGAAAATTTGAATGTTACGTTAAAAATACTTCGCACTTTCTTCTAAAACTTTCTTGTCAAGCTGAACATTTGGTTGAATTATCTTTGGGAGGGATCGAATATAATAGCATAACGGTATTATATCCATTAATATCTTTTACTAATCTAGAGAAACTAAAGATTTTCAACTATTATGATTATACAAAATATCACCCAACCTGTATAGAATCGAATCGTCTTCATAATCTTAGCATTAGTGAATTGCATTTAATGGGTGCTTCTGTTAATGAATTATTTTTTGAATATTTAATGAGAATGGTACGAAACTCTTTGAAGAAATTAGTTTTAGATCAAATCGGTGACGAGAAATTTCTATCTATAATATTGAAATGTCCATATTTAACTCACTTAGCTTTATCAATCAGACCAGATTCACCAAATCTTCCACAACTTGCAAATTTAAATTTAGAACATTTGATTCTCAATGATTCAACTCCAGATCGATTAGATAATTATATTTTAAATAATATAGAAAGTTTTCCAGATACACTTCGTCGTCTCGATCTTCTTATTTGTATTTCTCCCGAAGTTTTACAATATATTTTAGCAAAATGCATATTTCTTGAAACTCTTGGTATATATTTACAACTTCCAAGAGATGATCCTAAATATATCAAAGTTGTTGTTAGATATGTTCAATCATCTGGCAATTTTACTACATTAAGATATATTAGATATTGTTCTGGTCAAAAACTAATTCCACTTTCTAAAGCTATATGTGGATATGCAAAAATGTACATAGAAAACATTGTAAATGAAATTTATAATCCTTGGGAATAAGATTCATCATTTTAGGGTGTATTGAAGCTAGTTACTTGTTTCTGTGTTTATATATTCGATATATTCCGTTCATTAATATTTACGAGGAGTTTATTATATATAAAGTGAAGGTACTTATGTTAGCTTTATGTAATTTAGCATCAATTTATTTATATAAGAAATTAACAAAATATTATTATTCAGTTGTTTGATACATTCATATATAATATTATTTGATTAAAAATTTTCTCTAGTAAATAAAAAACTTTAACAATACCAGACCTTCAATCGTAGCTACATTTTTTTAGACACAACCTTCTTTACATTACTACCTTTAACACTTTTTTTCTTCCACCATTTATTTCTGTTATCAATTCCCAATTTTTTTTCCAATACTCGTCTTCCAACTTGTCCGGGTAAAACATTGACACCTTTCCATTTTCTGGCCAATAGTTCTTTAACTCTAGTCTTTGGAGTTCCTTCATCAAAATAGCATAATTCCATTATTTTGCTTTCTGCAAATTCATCCTCACTTTCAATCGTCTTTTGTCGAAGTAATTGAAAATCTTCAATTTTTGGAACTTGCGTTGTTGAAAGTTTTTGTAAGAGCCTTATGGCTCCCCAAATATCATCACATCTTTTAATAAAAAAAAATTTTTTTTTTTTTTTTTTTGTTGGTACAAACTTGAACAATAATTATGAATCAATCGAAAATTTTAATTAAATCTTACCTTGCTAAAATATGAATCATCTCCTTATAAACATTATATTCCACTTCTTTAGTCATACCAAGCCTTCTAAGTTCTTTCAATTTTTCAAGTTCATCTAATTTATTTATTTCATTCATTCTATTTTCCCACCAAGTTTTCCAATCTTGCCAAATACCCCAAGCATCTTCTATTTTCTTGTGCTTATAACATGATTTCAGCATCGTTTTAAATATCCAACTATTTAATTCTATGTTGTATTTTGGTATGATGCTTCGATAAAGCTCCAAAGTTCTGTTAAAGTAAGCATTCTTCTCGAACACGGATAAATATGAGTTAAACAGCATTGGCGTTATACGTGAGAATTTGGTGGTTGATAAGGATGTGGAATTAAAAGGTTCAATAATAGAAAGAATATATTTAAATAAAATGGTTGATTCTATAAGAATTTGCTTTTGTGTTATTGGAGGATTTGATAATAACGGATAGATATCAGATCCAATAACTAATAAATGATCTTTATATTTTGATAATAAATTATTAGAGTTGGTTTCTACTAAACTCTCAGTGCTATTAATTATTTCTTCTGCTGTTATACTATGATCGTTGTCATTATTATTCTCGACTTCATCCACAATTGAAATAGATAATGTATTATATGAAGGCCCATTATTTTCCTGTTTTAGTTGCTTTATAGGTTGATCAGAAATTTTATAAGCAGAATACGCCAAAAATAAATTTGAAAATGTAGCTAAATTAGGTGTTAATGATGGGTTCTGTCGAGCACTTTTAAAAATTAAAAGAATTAAGTTTTTTTTTTCTTTAAAAGCGATCTTGAATGAATTAGAGTGAATATGAATCAAACCTTTGCATCATCGATAACAGTAATTTTCTAGCCATATATATATCACCTTTATGTGCACAAGCATAAACTAATGAATTATATGTATACAAGTCAGGAAGATATCCATGCTCGCTCATGTCCTCTAAAACTTTGAATGATTCCTCATAATAATGTATAACCATGTTAAGAAATATCAAATGAATATGAAGCATTAATTATAATAAATTCGAAAATACAATTTAAAGGATATCTTTACGACGTGCACAAGCATCGATCAAAGAATTGAAAGTTACATCAGTTGGACATAAACCCTTTTCAGTCATTTCTTGATACAGATCAAAAGCACGTTCTACATCTCTCATCTAACATTTTATTAAATATCATTTATTAATAAATAAGCGAATATAAAATAAAACAAGTAATTTCTTTACCTTTGCACAAATATGAATCATTAGACTATAAGTCACTTCATCAGGTTGACAAACTTCTAATCGCATATGATCAAACGTTTTCCAAGCACGCGCTATCTCACGATTTTTTATACATCCCTTGATCAGCATCGAGAAAATTGGCTATAAGAAAAGTGTATAATATGTATGTGTGAAAAAAAAGAACAAATATGCATATATGTAAAAAAAGTACATATGGAAAAAATAAAAAAATAAAAATAAAATAAAATAAAAAATAAGGTAGAATAAATCAATCTTATACTTGAATATGATTTCAAAATTACTTGATTAGGCATTATCTTAGCGGCCTTCATTTTGGAATAGACGTTGAAGGCATCATCAATTTGTAAATTGTTTACATAGGCTTTAATTAAATTTGCAAAACTATATACAGTTTGTTCAAGCCTAGCTAAAAGGAAAATATATTAAAATATTAAATGTCATAAAGATAATACAATACAGTTCTTTCTTCATATTTTTCAGTAGAAAAAAAATATAGATATATATTTTATTTTTTATTATACCAGTTTCGATCATATCAAACGCAGATAATGCATTTTTAACATCTCCCACACTCGAATAAACATTTATCAGTTGTTCATATGTAAAAATATTTGGAGTTAAACCTGCTTCCTAAACTCAAAAGATGAAAAAAATTATTACAATAAAGATTATTGGCGAAATAAATAATTTAATATAGCTCCAAACCTTTATTTTTTGTAAAGTAAATTCAGCCGATTTTACATCCTTTTTTAAAGCCTGAGTAATTTAATTAATAATTTTATTAAAATTTTTTGTTTTAAAACAATAAATATTGTTACATGTAGTAAGAAATACTTACACAAGCATATAAAACTTTATTGTATAGCTCTATACTTAAATTACTATTTTCCGGTGCATTAATCAAAGGAATAATATCATTCTCCAATGACTCTTTGATTAATTTAGCAGAAGGCAATTCTGGTGTTGATAGTTGTCTACTTGTATTAGATTCAGATTCTCGAGAATTTGGAGTAAATAATGCTAATTTATCAATTATGCCACCAGGAGACAGCTTTTTAGGTATGCGTGCGGGAAGTGGAACAGAGAGATTTTCATAAATTTTTGAAAGTTCTTCATCTGATAATGAAGGTATTTCACTAATCTGGTGAAGAATGGTTAAAAAAAAATAAATAAATCGGATAAGTAAAAAAATTTTTTTTTTGTTTTGAATCGAAATTGGATTGAACAAACCTCAGGAAATGATTGTTTATCAAATCCAGTTAATTTTTGTTTCAATTCTTTTACTTCTTTTTCTACCTTTAGTGTCATTTTCTTAATGTTAGTTTTATTACTAGAAACAATATGAATGAAATAAGTAAAGGAATGAAATGGTTCAAACAATTATAATATGAAGTCAAGACCTTCGTTTCTTATTAATGCTATTATACCATCGAGTATTATAGCAATATGAAAAATGCGTATATGATTTTTGTTCAAGTACTATATTTAAATTGCGAAATAAAAGTAGCGAATTGGTACCGAGGAATTTAGTTTTCGAAAACATTGTAAGAGATGAATATAATCTTGAGAATTGCATAATCATTTATATCAACGCATGTGACATGTGACCTGTTTAGGTTGATAGCATTGGTCGATTTAGCAAATGTCCTAGAGCAAAAAAATAGTCGAGATTTATGAGCATAGTTGACTGAAGTTTCGGATTATAATATTGATGATCGAATAATAGTGAAGTTAAATTTTCGAGAGCTGTGAATTGAATATATCAAAAATTTAGAGTTATTAATACTTTTGTATTAGTTGCATTAAAATCATCGGCTTTTGACTGTCTAAAATTTGACTACACGTAATTTATGCGATAAGAATTTGCAAATTATAAGTGCGGGGTATATAAATATTCGATTTAATGATTAAAGATAAAAGTGCGATTTAATTATAAGATATTGGTCATGCAACGATTCATATCATGAAATTTGGTTTGTCGGAGCAAATGATTGGCTGACATATGCACATTTCAGCCAACCATTTGTTCCGCATGATCCAATATCGATGTTATCGTGCAATTATGATCATGATTTACAAGTCATTATTGGCTAACTGAGTTTTAATTCGTGCTTATGTAGTAAAAAAATCTATGATCATGAGTTTGCACGATAACGATGTTTACTGAGCAAAAAATTTGTCTCGTAAAAGAAAAAAAATTCTGATCTATTTATGATTTATCATCGTTAATTAAAAAACAAATTTTAAACACTCGCTTAACTAAAAAAAAAACCAAGTTTATGATTTATTCATCGTTAATTAAAAAACGCTTTTTTAATAAATAAAACTTTAAAGTATCAGAGTAATTTATATCAGATATTGAAAAAAAAAATCTATTAACAAAATCTACACATAAGCTTGTTCTAACTCTAAATGTTGATTTTTATAAATGAGTTCCGCCAAGGGAAACCTACAAGTTGTACTTTTTGAATATTTACTTTAAATAAAAATATCTTAAAAGGGACAATTTAATACCTATAATTTTAATATCATTTGACTCATCTTAATGAGACGATTCAAATAATATTAAGAATAGTAGGTACTAAATTGCCTGATTTTAAGATATTTTTATTGAAAGTTAATATTCAAAAAATATGACTTGTAGGTTTCCCTTTGGTGGTACTCAAACCTTTTTTGATTCAATTAGAAGTGGTATTTATTGCACTAGTGATAGACAATGAATAATTATAGGTTTTATGTAGTGACTTTAGTCCACCTAGCCTACTTTACTCCATTCCTATTTGAAAAAAAATATTGGAAGAATTGGTTAAATTCATTTTTTGACGATGCAGTGAATTTTTAAAGATTTGTGTTAAAAGAATTGAGAACTTATGTAAACTCTATACTAACTTTTAAATTTTCATCGGATGCAAGTCCAATAATAGTAGTATTTACACTAAAAGGTAAAAGTTAAAAACGACAAAGGTAACGCGATGATTGGTTGATCAATGATATAGCCATTATCAGTCTGGGATTTCCTTATGTCAAGAAAATGATCTACATCCGATGTAACACACAATTTTGATAATATTATATATATATATTGT